TAATCTCTTGCCAGTTGTGAGGTTCCAGAGCAGGTTGAAAACCCGCTTCCTCCAGTAGACTTCTTTCCCCATCCATTCTTTGCTGATTCTCTTCCTGGGGCAAAATGGTGCTTTGGTCCCCAACATTCAAAGGCTTCCACATGAGAGGCTATAAACCCTACTATGCAATGTGCCTTTCACCTTCAGAGGCAGGCTGTGCTGCTAGGCCAGGAAACAGTGACCAGTATGTGGATTCTAGGCCAAGGGCTTCCTTGACTTCCTGACTCTGTCTGAGAATTAGTCATTAAGTCCTTGCCCCATAAATTGCATTTTTACTTGCCATAAAGTATACACAAAGGGCTCCAGGGCCAATAATGTTCCTTTTTCCTTTCTACAGACAGATCTGAAGGAACAAGGACAGCTCCTGCACCGGGACCCCTTCACCGTCATCTGTGGCCGAAAGAAGTGCCTTCGCCATGTCTTTCTCTTCGAGCACCTCCTCCTGTTCAGCAAGCCCAAAGGCTCCGAGGGGGGGTCAGAGATCTTTGTTTACAAACAGGCCTTTAAGGTACAATGCCTGCAGGAAGGAGGGGTGGCAGGGAATAAGACAGGAAGTCATGTTCTTCTTGAGAACTCAGGATGTTCTGTAAATTCAGCCCAACCCACGTTCAGAATCTGCATCATCTAGAACAGATTTTGGCCTGTAACCAACCAGCAGTTAGGGTGTGAGGGTGATAGAAGACCATCGTCAGTCTACTCCTTGAGGTTTTCCTTATCTTTCATTCAGAAGACTCATGAGCCAGAAGCTCCTCCTCCTCCTACGCCAGAAAGGAGGAGGACCCTTCCCATCGAGAACACACATGCTCCCTGGGGGATGGGAGAAAAGACAATGCATATACAGCTTAACGTGACAGAAGTGAAGAAGAGGAGGGAGGCCTTGCTTTAGGGAAACAGCCCTGGTACTCAGATAGACATCAATAGCAACCTATGGCTATGTGGCATGATTCTCAGGATTTCTAGACCTTGTCCCCATATATTAGTTCCAGTTCTTTGGGATGGGGTGGCGGAGTACAGTATAGAGCAAAAAGCCTAGGTTTGGAATAACAGATGTGGTTTGAACCTTCCTTCTCTAATAAGCTATGATAAACCCTTGGGCAAGTTGCTTCATGACTCTGGGCATTCCTCTTCTATAAATTATGGTTGCTATAGAAACTAAATGTAGAGCAGTTGGCCAATGGTAGGTGTTGAGCAAACATTTACTGAACATCTACCAGATGCCAGGCTAAGTGTAATGCTTTTCCATGTGGTACCATCTAGCCAGAACTCACTCCATCCCTACCCACTCTCCTTTGCTCTTTCTCAGACTGCTGACATGGGGCTCACAGAAAACATCGGGGACAGTGGTCTCTGCTTTGAGCTGTGGTTTCGGCGGCGACGGGCACGGGAGGCATACACTCTGCAGGCAGCTTCACCAGAGATCAAACTCAAGTGGACAAGTTCTATTGCCCAGCTGCTATGGAGACAGGCAGCCCATAATAAGGGTAACAGGCAGAGCTGGGGAAGGGTGTGCTTGGGGGGTCAAGGTTATGGCAGGTTAGCTGGAAAGTGTGGAGAACACGTGGGAAAATAGGATGGAGGACAGAGAAAGAGAAATGACTTACGAGAAGATTCAGGATGTGATTTGAGAGAGACTGCTGAGATACAAATTAGTCTAAGGTGTACCAAAAGGAAAGGGGAATCTAGCAAATTTCAGGGAAGAAAAAGCGAACAGCTGGGCAGAAGAGTGAGAAAGTATACACTGGACGTGTGTTCTGGAACTTAACTGCTGTGTGACCTGAACTCATTTTTTGTTTTGGTTTTGGGGTTTTTGCTGGGTGTTTTTTTGTTTTTGTTTTTGTTTTCCCAATCGTCTGAACTTCATTCTGCTCATCTGGGGGGGGAAAAAAGTAATTTCTACATCTCAGTGTGATAGAATTATATATGGAAGTACTTGATAAACTTTAATGGCATGTAAAAACGTGAGTTTTGCTCTTAACACCCAAGATAAAGGGGAGAACATGAGCATAAGAAGAAAAGTTGGGCAGCTGGAATGGTAAATGGGCAGGATGCAGCATGCAAGAGAAAAGAGATAGATGTTCAAGGAGGTTGAGGACCACTATCTCCATCCATGTCACCAGCAAGAGAAATGAGACGCCAGAGGCATGAGAGGGAGAAATAAGTGTTGAGAAGGAGCAAAAGGAAGTCAACCAAAACAATGCTAGGGCTGGAGCAGAAAAAGGGCAAAAGAAGGTTGGTAACAGGGTCTCTGTTCCCTAGAGCTCCGAGTGCAGCAGATGGTCTCCATGGGCATTGGAAATAAACCTTTCCTGGACATCAAGGCCCTTGGGGAGCGGACGCTGAGTGCCCTGCTCACTGGAAGAGGTGAGAGCTCCAGTGCTGGGGAGTGGTCCATAAGACAAGACCTTGACAGTGAGGGCACAGTGGGGAGGCATGGTAGAAAGCGAGGAAAGATAGTGAGTGGATGTCCTCCCAGAAGTTATGGGACTGACTGGGAAGCCCTCTGTGAAGCTTAGGGTCTTTTCAGGGAGCCAGGAGGGCTTTCCCACACCAGCACCCACCCCCCACCCCGACTCTCTGCAGCCGCCCGCACTCGGGCCTCCGTGGCCGTGTCATCCTTTGAGCATGCCGGCCCCTCCCTTCCGGGCCTCTCACCGGGAGCCTGCTCCCTGCCTGCCCGCGTCGAGGAGGAGGCCTGGGATCTGGACGTCAAGCACATTTCCCTGGGTGAGGCACCTCTCAAGGGGTGGCTCCCCCCAACAGCTGGGCCATCACTGTGATGTTCAGGCTGCTTGTTGCTGAGCAATTCCGTTTTCTAGCCAAGAAGCCCAGTTGCCATGACAACTATTTACAGCTTCCCATTGCTAAAAGAGCCTTCCATTGGGTTGCTAGGTTAATGCTACAGCCGCCTGTTGCTAAGAAGCACCTCCTCTGTACCTCTCTGTAGCTGTCCTTGGGTTTCTATGGAAACTGCCTCAGCTTCATGTTGTACCCTCCTGGTTCACCACGGCAATCCTTATAGTTTCCTATCGCTTCTTCCCCCATTGCTCTAATGATGCCGCTGACAATTTCCTGCCTCTTGGTAGGGGGTGGTTCTCTTGCAAGTGGATTGCTATGGTGACTCACAGCTTCCTGTTGCTATAGAACTTTTTCTTCCCTGATGGAGCAGCTTGGTTGCTTCAGGTAATTTAGAAGAATTCTATACCTTGCTCTCACCCTAGCTTCCTCTCCAGCCCCAGAAACACTTGACTCTTCTGGAGATGCGTCCCCAGGACCAAGAAACAGCCCCAGCCTGCAACCCCCCAACCCTGGGAGCAACACTCCCACTTTGGCCACTGGAGGGATCTTAGGGCTCTCTCGGCAGGTAAGTCCCTGCAATAGGGCTGGGACGGGGTGACCTCTTCAGCCACTTTCTGGGTGGGTTCTTCTGATCTTTCATCCTATGGGAGACAGAGGGAAGCAGCCAGCCTGCGCTGCCAGCAAAGCTGCAGGCTGGCGATACTGTCCAGTCTCCTGCAGTCTCCTTTCTCCTCTCCTGCATCCTTGGCTGAGAAGCATTAAGGTCAAAAGTGAAAAGCAATCTTTAATAAAAAGCAGAGTACGGGAGTGGATGGAAAGGGGAGAATGCCAACAGCCTAGTTCGGGTTAAATCAGCAAATTCAGAAACTCCGGAGAGGAAAAAGAGGTGACAGCCTTGGGTGAGAAAGAGAGATGGGATACAGGAAAGAGGTCATGTCTTATCCTTTTAATTCACCAGTTTCTCTCCCCTAAGAGTCATGCTCGAGCCTTGAGTGACCCCACCACGCCTCTGTGACCTGGGTGAGTTGGAGCCCCCCTTCCTACCACACCCGACACCCCTTCCCTCTTGCATGTACTGCCCTTAGTCCCCTCGGCTGCTTAGGAGTTGACCTCTTCCCTCTCCCAACCCATCTCCTTCTTCTCTCCTGGCCTCTAGACAAAATCCAGAACTTGGCTACAGCCCCTCCTCTCAGCACATTTTGGGCTGGGATGGCAGTGGGACATAGTGAAGGACTGGAAGAGCTTTGACTTCCTTCCCTCTACTTCCTGGAAAGAGAGGTCAAAGGACCAGCGCATTTCCCTGCTACCGCTATCTCTGTAGCTTTTCCGAACTGGGTGCCTTCTTCCTCAGGAACCAGAGTAGCCATATTTGCTTGCCTTTGTACCCTGGAGGCAGGAGTTTTCCGTGGCCTAGTGGGTGCTTCCCCACCCTGGGCCACTGCATACTCCCAGGGCATGGCCCCAAGTCAGGTCTCCCGGGATAACCGGTATTTTCCCCTTCTTCCCATCCTGACTCTCCCTAAGAAGACTCATCTCTGCCAGGTTAACCATAATTCCTGGTGACTCCATTCTGGGGTGTCATAGGAAATGGAGCTATGCAAACCAATATATGAGGGTGGGGTGGGGAACTGCAAACTTTATACATGTAATTACTGTTATTATAATACTATTGTTATATTAAATGTATTTACTGGCATTTTGTGTCCAAAGAAGAGCTAGAGCAGTCTTCTGGGTTGAGGTGATACTACTAACTTGAATACTTCTCCTCAATCATTAACTAGAACACACAAAATACAATGAGGGTACAAGGTACCTTGTATCCCTTCCTGTCCCAAGGTTGGGTATGGCCTGGGAGAATGCGTCTCCTCCACGGTGGCTCCCAGAGGCTCAGTGTACCCTTTGAAGATCCTCCTCTCACACTGTCTAGACACAGTCAAGGTAGATTCAGCACAGTCCAGATTTCAGAACGAGAGGTCCTCAGACCACAAGGTGTTAGACTCCCCTAGACCACCAGCTGTATGCCAATGCCTGCACCCCACCCGGAGTTACTGAAGCCAAAGCATGGAGGTAAAATCCAAGAACCTGCATTTCTTATCGCACTCTTTGGGGAATAACTAAGTGCCTCTTTCCTGGAGAGAATGGCCCGAGGAGGAGGAAAGGACATAGGCAGACAGACACAGTGTCCTGTGCCTCAAGACACCTGTTTATTGGGGACACAACTCTGCAACAGGGATGACAGGAATCGTACCAAAAATAGCGACGTCTACAGGGCCCCTGAAGGGGCTTAGAAGGGTACAGTGCCCCCCACCCCCACCCATTGTACAAAAATAAACTCTCATGCCTATGGACCAGCAAGGACTGGCAGAGCATCTCCTCCAAAGGGCAAAACTCTCTCTGCCAACCCTGGGACCCCGTTCTTTGATCCTCACCCCTGCCACTTCTAAGGCACTGTGACTCCCCTGGGCTGAGTGGGTACCACTTGGCCCACCTGCCTATGCCCTCAACACCCTTTACTTCTCTCTGGTCCACCTGGGGCTGGGATATGGGTCCCACGCTGCCCCCTGCTGGATGTTCTACCCAACTACCTCTAGCGCTCCCCCGCTCCTGCGGAGTAAGCTTACTAAACTAATGGCCCCTAAGAGGGTTCCCTACCTTTCTTGCCCTCCCAGCCCCACCTCTCCGGATCTTGACAGCCTGGGGCCCTCCTCCCCTTCCTGCAGAGGAGGACTCGGAGGGGTTTCTCCTGTCGTTGCTCGGAGGTAGGGCAGGGACGCATCAGCCTGGGGCGGCCGGCGGCCCCGAGCCCGGCGACTGTGGTGCACTTGCAGGTGCAAGGCCATGAGCTCTGGAGCTCCAGTGGCAAAGGGGCAAAAGAGGCAACGGTGGAGGGCACCCCCCGGCCCGGCCTCGCCTCCCGGCCCCGCCCGCAGGGACAGGTCCAGGGGTTCGGCCTCACCGCCTCGCCCATTGCGCAGGGTCCTCCCAGGACTGGCGGGTTTCCTACGAGATCCCGGCGCGGTGCCGCTGGAAGGCCGAGGGCTTGAGGTGCCCTCCACCCAAGTTGCAGGCTGCTGAGCCGCCTTGGCTCCAGATGTCTGGGGTAAACACCGCTGGGAAGGGGGCGGCTCCGGTGGTGGACCGGGGCCAGCCCCGCTCCTCTGCTCCCGGTGGTGGCGCTGCAGGTGATACTTAAGCGAGCCTGATTGGGTGCCAGCATAGTCACAGTGCGGACACTTGTAGGGGCGTTCGCCTGGGGAGAGAAGAGTGCTATCAGGTCAGAGTCAGGGGCACTGCCCGCGCTCACCCGCCTTTTGCTCAATATACAGACCTCCTGTAGATTGTGAGAAAAACTGCCTCTCCCACTCCCTCGGAGGTATTAAAGGAGGATTTCCCAACACCCTCATCTTGGCCAGTCTGAAGGCTGCCAAGAGTCATCTGCAGCCCCCTTACCTCTTTCTGCCCTCCAGTAGTACCCTCCCTACCCTGGAAGCTACCCCCTCACCTGTGTGTACTCGCAGGTGCACTTTGAGGTGATGCGCTGAGCGGAAAGATTTTCCGCAGAAGGGACAATCTTTGCCAGTGGCCCCCCGGCTCCCTTCAGACCGGGTCCCTCCAACTAACAGCCCATTCTCTTCTGCAATACACACATTAAGGGAAATCAGAGGGGCCCATTGTCCTAACCCTACAGAGCCATGCATCCACACAGCTACCCCACCTCCCCTCCGGGTACTGAAGGAAACAACATGTTTGGAGAAATGAGGGGGTGGCTTTGATGTGAGTTGAACTGGTGCCCTGGGACACCCTTTTTTAAAGGAGGGGACAAGAGCATTGGGGTGGCATCAGAGTGAGCAACCTCAGAAACAGGAGAACCCTTACATACCTTGTGCGGCAGTGGACCTTGCCTGGGCCCCCGAAGCAGGTGCAGAGTGGCCCGTCCCCTCCCCTGGGCGCGGGTGCAGTGAAGCCAGAGGGCCCAGCGCCCGGTTTCGGGCCCAGGTATCCTCCTCAGACTCCACAACCTCCTCTTCCTCCTCGGGCTCTTCGGCACGGTGCCGGCGAGCCCGTGCCGGGAGAGCAGAAGGCAAGGGGCGGAAGCCTCCGAAGCTGCGGCCAGCCCCAGGCTCAGCACCCTCACCGTTGGGCCGGGGTTCGCCAGCTCGCAGACTCAGGTAGCCCAGCAGGCTTGCAGGCTCACGGCGCTCAGCTGGGGTGGGCGCTGGGGCCAAGAGGAGTGTGGGGCCCAGTGGCTCATAGGCCAGCAGGCCCAGGTCAGGAGGCTGGGGAGCCCGGGCAGACCCAGATCCAGGCCCTGGGGCACGCATTGGGCCCAGCTTGCTAGCATGCACCTTCATGTGGTTCTTAAGGAACCAGGGCTCCTTGAAGCAACGGCCACACACGGGACACGCATGATCGAAGGAGGCCTTGTGCTTGCGCATGTGGCCCTTGAGAAACCAGGACTGCGTGAAGCTCTGACCACACACTTGACAACGGAACTCTGGAGGCGCAGGGGGCTCCTCAGGAGTGGCAGGAGCAGGGGCGGGGGTTGCCTCACGTTCAGGCTCCGGCTCGGGATCTGGCTCCGGTTGGGGGAGCGATCTGGGTTCAGGTTTGGGTGGAGGCTGAGGCTGGGGGACAGCTGAGGTGGCCGCCAGAGGGCGATCAGGAGCTCCATGGGCCGTCAGGTTGTGGTGTAGCAGCTCCTCCTCCTGGCTGGAGCCGAAACTACATAGGCCGCATTTCCAAGGCCTGTGCAGGATGTGCATGTGGCGTTCCAGCTCCGCTGCGGTGCGAAACTTGCCTTTGCAGAAGGGGCAACGGAAGGCGGATGACGAGGGAGCCTGGGGCGGTGCCAGGCCCTCGGTGGCAGGGGTGGCCTGCAGGCCCCCTGAGCTTCGGGATCTCCCTAACCGGGCCTCACGCAGCAGCGCACGCTCCTCCAATTCTAGCAACAGGCGTGCGGCGGGGCTGCGCGGGCGCTCAGGCTGGTGCGTGCGCAGGTGCGAGCGCAACAGAGCCCGCTGCGCAGCACGGTGGCCGCAGTGTGGGCACTGGAAGGCCTGGGCGCCTGGGTGCGCACGCAGGTGCAAAGCCAGGATGGAATTGAAGCGGAAGCGCTTCCCGCATACAGGGCAGGGAAAGCGCCGTTCGCCAGCGCGACTCTCAGACCAGCCCACCGCTCCCATTCCTGGAGACCCTGTGCTAAGGCCTGGCCCGTTGGAGTAGCGCTGCAGATCCAGTTCGCCCTCGAAGGCCGGCGGTGAAGGCGTTAAATGGCCGCCCAGGGCGCGGGGACGTGAGCCCTGTGGAGAAAGATGTATATGGAGCAAAGGGTGGAAAAAGGAGAGTTGTGTGGGGTAAGAAGGGCATGGAGAGTTGGAAGAGCCCAAGGGAGGGTTGCTGGGTGGGGCCTGAACCAGGTACACCGGATACCCTTCCCATTCATATTGGGGAAGATGGAGGATGACTGGGAACTGAGCTGACGAGGTCACAGAGATAACATCACAATGGCAGGTCAGTATGAGAGAAAGGGAGGGAGGGGAGGGAGCATAATTGCAGGTATTTAGGTTCAGGCCAAGTTTCACTCACCTCCATGGACCCCCTTCACATTCTTTGGTTCTGGGGAGTGCAGGGAAGAGGAGGAGGAAAAGTTGCTAGTGAAGGCAACAGGTGCTGAAGAGCTAAAGCAAGAGAGATAGATTTGGAAGAAAAGATAAGTCCTGATGTTCAGCAATGGAAAGAGTCACCCCAAAATAGAGACTCAGCACCCTGGACTCCTGAAACCTATCCCTTCTTCCTCCTTGCATACCGAGGCAGGAGGGGGCTGCTGTCTTCAAAACTTATACTCCTTGATTTGCCAACCCCCAAAACTCCATGAGAACACAGATTTCTCCCCCCCAAAACGTTTTAAATGCCTGGTCCAGAACTACCACTATCACCACCCCCTGATATCGGGGAAGACCATCACAGTACAGTCCTCTCTCATTTAGATTGGGCTGTGCAGCTTGATAAGCAAATGAGGTGGGACCGTTGCTCTCAGACACCTAACTGACCAGCCAGCCAAACATCCTTCCTTTGCTCCATAGTCCTTCCTTTTGCTCCTACCCTGTCTGTCTTCCCCCCTCATTCTCCCTCCCTCCGCCTGGATTCCTGATCCATTCATTTCCATTCATTACAGAGACTCATTCATGCATGGGAGAGAAACACCTCCCAGCAGCAGCAGTCTGGAGACAGACAGAGGGGGAGGGGCACAAAGGGGGAGAGAGCCACAGGGAGAGGGAATGGAGAGAGAGTTGGGGGAGGAGTGGAAGTTAAGGGGCGCTGCTGGCCTGGGGAAGGGGTTAAAAACTCCAAATACCGGATAGGATTCATCCCCGTGTTTCAAACCTTGGAGCCTGCAGTTTGACGGGGCATCTCAGCCCCTTTGTCCAGAGCTGTTCCGAAGCAGGCTTTCCTCCTCTCTGCAGGGGAGAGGCTCCCTCACACAAGAGGAGGATTACACTGGCTCTGAGCTCAAGAGGCTGGAGTGAGGGACGGGGGGCGGGGCTGGGCCATCTGCACAGATAGGAGCTCAGTACATGCTCTGAGCAGAAAAGGGTTAAAATTCTCCAGGCTAAAATTCCCTGGGCCTGGGATGTGCAGAGCTCCAGTTCTGAGGAAGAAGAAGAGCACTGAAAGGAAGAGGATTGGAGGGGTGGGGGGCTGCACTCCTGATTCTATGCTGCAGAGGTTAGCATTAGGACTTAAAAGCAATCTCAGAATTAAGATTCATGGAAATAGGCCTAGGAGAATGACTAGAAGTTGGTCAGTATACCTTCCCGCTTACATATAGAATTTTATCTGCTCAAGGTTAGACAAACGTGGAATATATATATATATATATATATATATATATATATATTTGTTTACATTTTGGCCTGATATAGAAAAAATATTTGAGATGCAATGAACTTCCATACATTAGGCACGAAATGGGATACTGAGAAAGAAAAGGACTCAAGCAATACTTTGCTTAAGGATCTTTAATGGGTGAGAATTGGGCCAGAAGTAAGGGCCTGCTTGTCAGCAAAGAAAAGAGGCTCTGGAAGTCCGAGGCTTCTTTAATTTTTGGTATTTAGTGGATGTGCTGAAACTCAAGGAACGGGCAGGTACCTGTCATGTGTGGAATCTGGGTTATGGAAATTTTATTAACAGGAGGTTAATTAAGAAAGTGTCCTTGTCCAAGGGTCACTAAACAACCTCCACCACCCTTTTAATATTTGTATTTCTGTAGCTCCAAATTAGGGCATCCACCCTCATCTTCTGGATTCTCCAAATCCTTTTCTGAGATCAAGAGCCTAGCCAGGCTCGAGAAAGGGGAAGAGTAGTGGTATCAAGAAAGATGTAGAATAGGACCGAGGGGTACAAGGCTATTGTGGGACCAGTCTTACCATTAATAGCCCTACAACCTTCGGTAAATCACTTAACCTCCCAGCTTACTCGTCAGTAAAATAAGGGGGTTGGATTAATTTATATGGATGGTCCCTTCCAGCTCAAAAGCATTGTAGTTCCAAGTCACAGGACTCTTCTGGACCCCAGATAGAAGTTAAAACAAATGGTCATCCCTTCAGTACCATGGAGAGTGCAGTGGGCTACCAGAGGAGCCACTGTGGCCACCTCAATACCATAGATAAAGGTACTAAGTGCTAGAGGGGCTGCATTTGGCATTTTAGCACCACAGTTAAGGCACTGAGAAAAGCGAGAGGATTTTTTTTTCTAATTCCTTTCTGGGAGCCAAGGGGGAGTGGGGGTGGAACAGTGGTACCAGAGGGATTATTTTTGCCTTTTGGATGACACTGAAAATAGATAGATGTAACAGAAAATAGATGTAACTAGAAGAATTTTAATTAGCTATAAGGAGTGTCCTGACAGTTACAGTTTGTACATCCTGGAATGAGTGAGTGAGGCATCATATTTGGGTCCATCACATTCTGTTGCTCTCCTGGGGATTCCCGGAACATCCTGGTGTACAGCCAATCTGGTATATTCAGAGGAAGCAGATGGTGGGGGAGGAGGGGGGGAGGCTGGGAATACTGCATGGTCATAGCTGACTAACCTACAGGCACATACTCTGATTCTAAGAAGATTCTAGGGCCCCTGAAACTGCCTGTAGGATAGTAAGCAAAATACTTCAGGGGAAGTTGATCTCATATCCAAGGCAAGTAAAGTAGGAATAAGGCAAATCTTCCCCCCCCCCCCGCACCAACCCCAAAATCTGCTTTGCACATGGCAGTTTCTAAGATAAAAATACAATGATATACAAAAAGACCCAAACTGAAGCTGTATTCCTAAACAGGGAAACTTTCCCCAAAAGGTGGCTTCAAATCAGTAAAACCCACCCTCTAGGTGCAATCAAGATTGTCTGAATTACCTCCACATCAAACCAGGTCTTGGCATCTGATCCCATGAGTTTTCTCAAAAAGAGAAAGCACTGACAGGGCCCGAGATTCTGTGAACTGTTTTAGAACTCAGGTCATGCATGTATTGCCTATGGGCAATTATCAAGAGTTGATAATTTCTATAGTTTCCTATAGTCAGGCCCTAAATGCCATCCACGAGAGTTGGCCAGACAGTAGCACTGACCTACTTTCCTCACCCTCTGGGAGTCAGGGGTTATCTTGCCCTTATTTGGGTTCTATAGGGATGCAAGGCCAGCGATAGGGATCAGAAGTCTTTCCAAAGCAATAGGCCAAGTACTTGTTTGTGCTGGGAGAGCTGGTGGGGAAGGGGGTATGGACCACCAACCCGTACTGGATAGGAAAGAATGGAAGGCTTGGTGAGAAGACTCTTAGAAACAACAGGGACAGGTTCGTAGAAATGTCTGCTGACCAGAGTACCATGAAGATTGTCCCTCAAAGCTTGTGGTTCAACAGTTTTTAGGATCAAACTGGAAGAGGCAAGGGTTCAGCACTTCTGAGGTCTATTGTGACTAGGCATCTGTTACTGATCATTTCTAATACTTAATGTTTTTCCCTCTGTTGAGGATCCTACACCTCCACAAATCCTCTAGCAATTATGGTTAACACTGCACTAGATGGGGTTAAAAGGAAAAGGAGCTTCCTTAGGTGGTCTACAGTCAAAACCACCCTTTATCACACAGACATGCCAGTAGTTCATTTTAATGGTCTCCTCTCCATGGTCCTCTGAACCTCACTGCTCAGGCAGCTCCTCCAATTGACCCGACCACAGTTTGCCCACCTTTTACACTGAGTTTTTGGTAAGGCCTCTGTCCCTCCATCCTCACTGCCCTGAGCTGGTGGCATGGAATCTCAGTCATGAACTCCAGCAGACAAGAGGAAGATACACCTGCTCACCTACTGCCATCCCACCATGGTTAATCTTATTCCAGAGACATGTCCCAACTTGACCCCTCTTCTGAAAGTTCTGGATTTGGGGGAGGGGGCATATAGCCAGCCCTAAGTCCCCTTAACTGGAACTGACCCTAGAAAGGTCAGAGTCTTAGCACCCATATGGGCCTCAGTACTGCCTGGATTAGGGGGTGGAGGGTGGGCAGGAGAGCCTCTGGGAAAATCCACCTCCCACAAGTAGCCTGGCAAGTAGAGCAGGACCTGTGATCCTGCACAAGAGGTTCTCCCAGCAGCACCCTAGACCCCTCCCCAGGAAGATAAGCCAGAACGATGATGGGGGACAGGGTTGGGAGATTGGAAGGCCAGGACTCAGCTACCCAGGCCGGGAGAACAAAAGCTGAGTTGCAGCCGCCTCTGCTGCTGCCGCCGGCCGAGCTCTTTGTGACACTTTGTTTGGGACGCAGAGAGGGAAGCACCCCCCATCCTCTCCCCTCCCCCACCCGGGCTCCCAGAGAGTTTGGGTCCCTTCCCCCTCCTCCATCAGCCCTACCTCGGTCGGGGGGTGGTCATCCACTCTAGCTCACGGTTCCGCCACCCTGCACCCCCAGGGCCCTCGCGACCTGCCTTCGGGCCCCTACAAAGACGCCCGTCTTCGTCCCCCGCGCCCCCCCCCCCGCCGCTGGCCTTTCCCCTTTGGTGTCCCTTTTCCCGGCTCCCCTACCTGGCCCCCTCCCGAGAGGCCCCCCCTAGCTCTCCAAGATTCTGAGGCCGCAGCCCCCACCCCGCCCCCCCAGGAGCTCTGGGCGAAGTTTGCTTGGGGCCGAGCCGGCGCCCCTCCCCCGCCCCCGCCCCCTGCACCTGCTCCGAGCCCGGCGCTCGGAGTGGGCCCCCCCTCCGGGAGGGGGGAGGGGGCCGGGGGCGGGGGCCGGGTGGCGGAGGGGGGGCCGGGAGTGGGGGCAGCGGCTACTCACGAGCCCCGGGCGGGCGGCGGCGGAGCGGGCGGCGGCGGCGGCGGCGGCGGGCGGCGGGCCGGCGGCGCGGGCGTCAGCGTTACGTGGGGCCGGGGGAGATGCGCCGGGCCCCGGCCCCCCCGCCCCCGGCCCGGCCCCCGCCCCCTCCCCGGTCCCCCGCCCCCGGCCCTGGCCCGCATTGTGTGCGGCGGGAGGTGGCCCGGCCATTAGCATGCGGGGGGCGGCGCGGCGGCACTGGGAGCCGCGCGGGAGCGGGGCTCTGGCTCCGGGGACTGGGAGCTGGGGACCCCGGGAGCCGGGAGAGGCGGCCGCCAGGGGCGGGGTGCGGGCAGTTTGGAGACGGGGGGCGCTATCGGAGGGAGGGGGATGGGGCGTACAGACGATTCCTACAGAAGACTGGAAGAGATTTTGAAAGGTCATCTCGTCCTTCCCCCAGCCTCCAAGCAGCGCTGCCCCTCCCACCCTAAACCCGGACATACCAGGGAAGGAGTTGGCTCTGCCGCTTTTTCTGCCCCAACATGCACAGACTCGGGAAGTTCTTCCTGGGGTTTTATCTCAAAGCCTCTCCCTACAATTTCTGTCTCTCTTTTGGGGGAGGAGGAGGGGCGATTATAGAGATAATGTCTGCCGTATAAGAAACATTATTAAAGTTACTCCTCGGTCCTTTCTGTTCTTGATAAACAATTCCTACGCCTTCCTCTCAAATTCTATTTTCCATTCCTTAAGTCACTTTAATGGCTCTTCAATACAACAAATATTTACTGAGTGCTTACTAAGTACCAGGCACTATGCTCAGCGCTTTAGGGGGATGAAAATTGAGGGGTGGGGGAAGTACCCTCTGAGGAAATTATAATCTACACAGGGGCTACGAATGTGTAAGTAGTATACTCAGATTCAGTCAATATTTATTGAGTGCCAGTTCACATATTTAATAGTATATACTCCTTACAGTAACACTCTGAGATACAAGTAGTTTGCATTTATAGGAAAGAAATATGAGGCTCAAGAGTTTCTTCTGGCCTGCCAGCTCAGGGATCCTCAGTGCAAGCCCAACATTTCACATTCTGTGAGGCCATGGCCACCAAATAAAGTTAATAGGTGTGGGGGTGGAGGAGGGAAAAGATGCTCAACAGTTCTCACCCCTTTGTGATCCCCACTCCCCAGGAGAGAACTGACACAATGCTCCAATGAGTGCCAGTCCCAGCACTTAGCAGTGCAGAAGTGGCTGACAAAGAAAGCCACTTTCCCCCCAGTGTATGACCTGGCAGTAACTCCCAGGGATCTTCTGCTCAGTCTTGTTTCATCATCAATATAATAATGATAATAGCCACTAACATTTATTGAATACTTATGTGCCAGGTGTTAGGCTGAACTGGTTCATATGCATTTTCTCTTTTAATACTCAAGGCAAACCCGTGGTATTGACTTCCCTTTACAGGTAAGAAGGCAGAGAGATTAAGGAACTTGCACAAGGTTACCCAGGTAGATCTGGGATTCAAATATAGGTCTGGTTGCCTCCAGACCTCAGGCTCTGCATCAGGATGGACCTTCCCAATTTTTGATTTCTAGAGTACATATTTGGGCCCAATTGGTTCCACTTGTTACTGTAGCAATAAATGTCCCCAGCTTAGTTTCTGAATAAGCCCTTTAGTATATGGGCATCAGGCACAATGGTATGACCTCATCTACACCAGTAATGGTTACTAAGCACTCACCATGAGTCAACAACCATTCACAGTCATATTATTAGCCTCTGTTTTATCACTCAGTTTGAACAAACAGTGGTTCAAATAGGTTGAATAATGTATTCAAGGTCACACAACTAGGAAAGTGGCAGAGCTGAGATTTTAGTCCAGGTCAGCCTGGCTTCAATGCAACTCGTATCTCTCAAAAATATTAATTGTTGCAATAGCATCTTTCCCAAGACTGCTCATTTGGGGGCTATCTTCTATACATCCCTAGCTGCAGATGATCACTGAGTCAAAGACAATTCCCACTATAAGCAGGGTACCCCATCCACTTTGTCCGTGTCCCATCCACAATAACTCCTTCAAGAAAGGAAGGAGAGAGAAGAAACAATTCAGAAAGTGACAGACAGGAAATCAGAAGAATTAAACCTTGCTTGTCTTGGGACAAAGCTGCAAGTGGTAATGACATGGGAACAATCCAGACAGTAATGTGGGATTTCCCTAGGGAACAGGAAGTAACTTGAGGAGGAAGCCAAAAAAAGGAAAAAGATTACATGAAAATGGCAGGGGTGTGGGGAGGATTGGGGCCTAGAGTAGATGTGTCCATGGGTGAGTGATAAGAAGAGGACCCCACAATGGACAGAGATGGGGGAAAAAAGAACAGAGCCAGGCAGAGCTGGGTGTATCTTGTGGAGTGAACAGAGGCTGGTATCTACTACCTACGGCCAACTCCCTGGATCCTTAGGCCCTCATAGGGACCTTTGCCCCACCACACCCCAGCCCTGATAGCCTGTGTCTGCCTGGACAAGTTTGTTGTCTGCTCTGAGCTACCAGTCCTGCCAGGGGCTCCAGGCCCAACTAGGTCCCATCTTTTTGGAGTAGCTGCTTCAGAGTAGGTAGGTGACAGGCCCTGAGCCACAACCCCCTGGATATTAGAAGCACACAGAGGGGTAGCTGTAATAGAGGTTCCTGCTTGACCTGTCTCCTGATAGGTGCCGTAATGCACTATTCCCAGGAAAGCACCGAGCCTCAGTAATCAAGGGAGCCATGGAAGACAGAACCAGGCAACAAGAGCAGAAGACACCCAGCCCTCGTCTGGAAAAGCTACAGCACTGGACAAGGCACAAGCAGAATGGGCACCTCTTGGTGCTAGCGGTGAGTCCAGGATGCCCCATCCCAAACTTCAGCATATCCACTTGTACCCTAATTCAATTCCATACATGTTTTGTGGACACCTACCGTGTGTTTGAAACTGCTAGACTCTGAGAGGGAGGAGGGTGGAGGAGGTGTAGAATAAGTAAGGCAAACCCTCAATCTATAAGTAATTTCCATCATGTGAGAAAAATACATAGGTAAGTAACTAAACTACGACATGAGGTAGAACAAATTAAATGATATCCCCTCCTTCACTGCCTTTGGTTGACTATTTTCCGCCATCACTCATTCCTGCCATTTGTTTATCTCTGGAAGAAGAGGGTGTTGGGAGGAGGGAAGGGAATCCCTTACAGTTCCTCTTCAACCACCCTGCATTCGGCCTCCAGATGAGCCAACTATGGCTAACAGTGGCTGTGGTGCCTGTTGCTGTCTCACTTGCCTGTCTGAGCTCTGCTTGTCACATGGCCACAGCACTGCCCCTTGGACCTGGAGCATTGGTAAGATCCACCATACCAAAGAGAACAGAAGGAAGATTCTGGGGGCCCTTCACTAATGGAGCCAGAGCTCAACACTTGCCTTTCTCAACATCCAGGGTTTCGTTACTGGGACTGTTACCCTTGAGCTGCGTAGAGCACCTCGCCTTTGGAAGGTGAGCGAAAAAGAGAATTAAATACTATTCTCCAACCCAAAGCACACATACACATACATCAACCCAGAAAGAGGTCCTCTAAGCTAATCCAGTCAGCTCTCTGCCTCTAATTGTCCTAAAAGACTGAGGACAGAAACCAAAAACAATCTTGGAGGGTTGATGGCCCTGTTAGGAGGTGGAAGAATAAGAGTTGTGTTTTGTTTTGGGGTAGGTGCAGGCTGGGCTTGGGGTTGCAATGAGTCCTTTAAGCTAGGCAGGGCTGAACTGGCTCACTGGCAGGTGCGGGCCATGATGATATTGAACACCTTCAATCTGATCTTTGGCCTCATCGTGGTGGTGGTTGAAGTGATGAAGACAGCCTTGGGGCCTGCTGTAACTGCTTCCTCCAAGATCCAGGTGAGTAAAGGAGAAGGTGGGCAGATGAGGAGGCAAGAGGAGATGGAGAGGTATAAGGATAGGGGCGGACAGGTTCCCTGTAGCATCCTCAGCCCTGTCTACCTGCAGCTGGATGGATTGCTGGTGCTGGAGCTCAGCGCTGAGGCCTTCACCCTAGGAGGAGTGCTGGTCTCAGCACATTCCCTATTCCTGCTGACCCAGAGGAAGCCAGGATGCTGCAGGAGACAGAGTCTGCACTACCAGGAACTGCAGGAGGTACTGAGGGCAAGGAGGAAAGTATGGAGCTCATTTTTTTTCAATGGCTATTCTGGCCAATGGCACTTAAGGATGGAAAGCAAAGGGTCCTAACCTCAAGCTGACTGTTTTCTGACTTTGGACGTTCCTCACCTAGTGGTGGGTAAGAAGGAATTGGGTTATCTAAATGGCTAGGGTTAGAATGTGGGAGACCCTTAGGAAGCTGCCTGAATAATGGAAGGGCTATGGGAACATAAGAAAAAAATCAGAGAGGAGGAGGAATTCCTCCTTTCTCACACCTCACACCTCTCTCTGGTTTTCAGGGTCCCTCTGAGTTGGAGGAAGTTACTGATT